TATATATATATATATAGTTATATATATATATAACTATATATATATATAACTATATAACTATATATATAACTATATATATAACTCTCTCTATATATGAGAGTGTATATATGAGAATATATATATGTGACACCAGTCTTTGTAGAAATGGCTTTGCCTGAAAGGTTGTGTTATTACTCATTCAATAACATGCGGGAATGGGGGAGGGTTTAGTTTAATAGAGGGTATAAGTTAAGTTTTTTTTATTCCTATTTTTTTCTCTGTTTTTGTTTTCTGTATGTTGAATTTAAATATTTTTTTAAAAAAAACATGCGGAAATGCACAGAACACTAGCCTGTTGCAGCAAAATTGGCAAAGACTCTTTGTTGTATTTGCAGCAACATGTGTTTTAATACAACAGATCATTCACCATTATATCTGTAATGATGGATGAAAAAGTAATATAGGAAAGGAATAGGCCTGCCACTAAAAATGGCAAACCCGACATTGGGTTTCTGGCTCCAGAATCCATAGTAACACATAATCTATTTCATGACATGGTAATATCTGCATTTCATGTCCCTGAAAGCATCATGTTACAATTGTGAACAGCCGTGGGGAAGCATGACATGACTACATAATGACAAGTGGTCACTATAGTACATTGCATAAGATATAAAATACGTACATCTCCATCGCTTATTCATTTATATGAAATCTCCCCCTAGATAATGGCTAGCTCTTTTCAGGTACTTTTCACCATGCAAATGTAACTGTGTGAGAGGGGACCTGCTGTACACATATAGGTTCTCCTTCTGGTTTTTGAAATCCTGCCTCTGGATGGATGCCCTCATGGGATTGCAGTTCTACAGAGAATCCCTCCAGCAGATTCAGGTTAACATAGTGGGTGTTGATTGGTTCAAGGAAGCAACTACAGTGGTGCCCCGCTTGACGACGACCCCGCTTGATGACAAAATCGCTTTACGATGACTTTGTTGCTATTGCTATAGCAATCGCAAAATGATGTTTCTATGGGTTTTTTTCACTTTACATCAATTCAGTCCCTGCTTTGGGAAACGTTTTTTCACTTGACAATGATTACAAACAGCTGATCGGCGGTTCTCAAAATGGCTTCGCACTGTTTTCTGGACCTATTTCCGGAAGACAGCGATCAAAAATGGCTTCCCCTATGGAGGATCTTCGCTGGACAATGAGTTATTTCCCACATTGGAATGCATTAACCAGTTTTCACTGCATTCCAATGGGGGTTTTATTTACGTATGATGACAATTTCGCTTAACAGCTATAACAGAATGCATTATTGTCGTCATGCAGGGCACCACTGTATTCATAACTGGTGTGAAAAGCAGTTTTTTTCCACCTTCTGTTGCGTGGGGAGAAATAGCAGACCCAGTGACCATTTTCAGACAATCTAAGCATACACACGATTCTTTTGAATTTGAATTTTTGAGGCCCTCTACTGGTGTCCAAGATCATTAAGCTCATCCTTATCTCTTTTTCATTGACTTTGTTGGAACTTAAATGTGCTCAGCTTGAGTTAGGTCTTGCGCAGTTGTTTTCATTAACTATATTTCATCATAAGAATGCTGTTAAGTGGTACCTGTTTTGTGAAGTTCTTATGAAATTCCTGAAATGCAGTACTTGATGAGTTACTATATTCGGGTAGGTGTTTTTCATTTTTAATCCTTGCTGTTCCAATATAGCTTGTGGCTTCTACAAAGAAAAGTCCAAACTGTTTAGTCCAATGCAGCAGGTAGCCATTTACACATTACGCAATATTTCTTCTGCTGTTGTTGCTACTGAAAACAGATCCTAACAGAGGTTGCGAAGTGGGTGGGCGGGCAACAGATTCATTGTTCTTTTAAATGCAAGCTCTCTGTCTGGCAAAGTCACTTTGCTATTCCCTGCCCATATGGGGATCCTCCATTTACAGAAGGAAAGGGGCGAGCAATGAAAAGGATCCTGAATTGGCCACAGCTACATACTGTGCAAGCAAAGTTCCAGGTCTCATGGCCCTCACCTGCTTTTTCAAAATGGCAGCAAAAGGTTGGAATTCCTTACTGGTTTGTTAGCTTGTTTGCTCATTTGTTTTTTTTTTCTTTCTGGGATACTGCTCTGAGTGGACTGACAAGAACATCTCAGCATAGTATTTGGCCTCCATTGCTCTAAGAAGGCAGATGGCAATAGATAATGGAGAGAATACCTGTCCGTACTGTCACAGAAGAACCGATCTTTCTACCACAGCTCCACACCTCCACAGATACTGTATACCAGTTGCCTGGATGAAGGTTTTCAAATACAGTGCTTGTGCTGTTGGTACTACTGTTACTCTTAAGTGTTTTATCTTCTAGCAGAGATACTAGGTAAGGGCTGTCTCTTCTCCCATCCAGAAGCATCCAATGGAATTGTATCACTTGACTGGTTACTCTATCCAGAGTGATGTACAAAGGCCCTGTAGCTACAAACAAAAATACACAACTGATGTCAGAGATGCACATGTTTGATCTCCACAATTCTGTAATCAGATATTTGCAGTAATTGAAATGTGATGGTGTAGAAACAATGCAGTAGGCTGTGGGACCATGTTATTCTCTGGTTACTCTTTCTGCAGCCAATACATACAATCTGATGCTACATCGTTCTACCTTCCATATTTTGGTCCACAGTATCAAAGGGTCTACATTTATTCTAATGTATGCATATGGAGTTCCTCCACATGAGGGGATACCTTTCTCAGTCAGGGTTTTCCCTCATGTGGAAGAGCTCTGTGTAAGTACGTCCTATTATATAAAGCTTCCGCATATACAGGCCAAATACAGAGGTTGCATAGGGATATGGTGAAGAATGCAAATGTATAACATATTAGAAAGTTATTTTAAACTCCAAATAAGCCCTATTTCATGGTTGGATCATTAGTACTTCAAAATGTAAAAACTGATTTGGCTTTATGAGGGACAAAAGGCTTAAGTGCTGGAAATAGTTACCCAAAAATTGCCTATTTTTCTATATAGCGAAAACGTGGAATAAACAAGCAAGACAAAATTTTACAGTATGAAGTGCTTCTGTTGAGACTCTCCACACTCCATTCCACTGCCTTTTAAATACACTTTTGCCCATCAAAAACACTGAGGTGGAAAAATGTTAGAAAGGAAGTGAAATGGAGTGTGGAGAGTCTTAACAGAAGCACTTCATACTGCAAAATTTTGCAAAACATTTCAGACAGAAAAAGTTACATGTTAATTTTTAATGTTAAATGTTTTTTTGAAATTCAGATTTACAGTGCATAATGACTGCATGCAATTGAGCATAAAAGGAAGGGAAAACTGATGCAAAGAGGATTCTAGGTCTTTCTATGGACTTAACATTCCCACTCCCCACTGGATGTTTGGATTGGCTGATGAAAATCCTTGCTATGCTATTAGATGAAAAAAAATTCTCCAGTGATTTGATGGGCATAGGATGAAACTATGAAAGAGATTACATGAAAGAGAGAAACACAAAAGATTTACAGAACTTTCACAGAGCTATTGTTCAGAAACATGAATGACTCTCTTCTGGCAATTGCAAAAGAACGCAAATTACTGTACATGAAAGACAGACTCTTTCGTGTTGTGGGTCTTTCATTAAAACATGAAAGCCCCATCCCTAGTCAATACAGCCATAATATAATTCAGTTATGCCTTAGTTACTGGGCAGAGAACTTAATTGTTCGGAAACATGAATGACTCTCTTCTGGCAATTGCAAAAGAACGCAAATTACATGAAAGACAGACTCTTTTGTGTTGTGGGTCTTTCATTAAAACGTGAAAGCCCCATCCCTAGTCAATACAGCCATAATATAATTCAGTTATGCCTTAGTTACTGGGCAGAGAACTTAAAGTAGATCATTATATTTACCAAGTTATTACTAAACTCTCCTTTCTCCTCAGCACATACTACCTCCATGATGCTTCCACCAAGCCTTCAACTCCACTGCTCTCATTTTGTTTTCCTATTGACTCAATATTTTCTGCCAACTGTGTGTAGTCACTTCCCAGAAGTCTGAGGAAAGGTTCTGACTTAATTCTCCCAACCCCAAAATTAAATCCGTTACCCTAAAATAAAGAGTTCTCCAGAATCTCTGAACGCTTTTGTAAAACACTCACGCTACTAAACAAAGATATTTCATCATGGATGATAATAATGATTCAGAAATAAATGATGACAATAGATGTTAACAACCAAATGTTATCCTTCTAAATGAGAGAATTAAATGAAAACAAAATACATGCACTTTGAGAAAATTATCAACCACAAAAAATAAATACATAAAAGAACACTGGATTAAGAGTTAATACTTACAACATTCATGAGGATTCTGGGTGGTGGATGTTACAGTAGAAAAAAATACAGAATTCTTGGTGTGCATTGAAACAGAGGTCAAAACAGTCTCTGTGTGTTGTTTTCCCACAAAATAGGAAGTAGATATTGGATCCTGACTAACTAACTGACTAGTCTCATATTCACCTGTGACACTACTTGCAGAAGAAGATGTTAAGGATGCAGAATGTCTAGTGGTTTTTGCTGTTGTTTGAGGAGAAATTTTAATTTTATCTGAGAAAGAGTTCTGCTCTTGGGATGTCAGGAGACTCAGGAGCTCAGTACTTGCAAAAGACATGCTGTCAGAAGGTGTAGGTGAAGGTGGTGTTACAAGAGAAGAGAATTCTTCTGTTTTTAGTGCTGCTGTTGGGATTTCATGGACCCCCACAGTCCTTAAGGAGCTTGAACCTGTTGCAAGAGAAGGGGTTGTTGAAGGAGAGCTTATCCAGACCTCTTTCTGAAGAGAAGTTGGAGCTATGGGACTGGCTACAGTATGGCTCCCACCACCTCCCTCCATAAGTGTTGTGCTGGATCCAGTTGTGCCCTGAAGGATGCTTGTGCTTTCAGAGGAGGCTGTGCTTTGCATTTCTCTCTGGGATGTTCTCCCAGAAGGGAGAGCATTTGTCCACGTTGCATCAGGGGAACGGTTGGTGGCTGAGATGCCTGATGCCTTTGGTTCGTGGGAGGTGCGTTGACTGAGGAGCCAAGTGCTGCCCAAGGAAGTGCTGTGATATGGTAAGGGAGACGGAGGTGATGACAAAGAGGAGAAGGTCTCCGGGTGTTGATCGGCACTCGAGCTTTCCCTGAGATCTCCAGTGGTAACAGAGAAGTGGGCTGTCCTGCCTGGAGTGCTGCTCCCAAACGATGCAGAAGGCTGTTCTGTGGAAGCTGCCTTCCAGGAAACCCCATGTGTGGGATTGATGCTGGATTGGGTGCTGCTCACCTCTTTTTCAGGCAACCCACTCGGTTGGACAGAGGTGCTAGACTCCAGACCTGAGGGTGCCGAGCTGGAGATTTCCTCAGTTCTCCTGTAAGGACTGTACGTGGCAGTTACCTGAGGGAGTGTGTTTGGAGATGAAGTGGTGAAAGCCTTCTGCTCTTGGGTGATCGGGTGACTCAGGTCCTGGGTGCTTGGTGTAGATGTGCTGCTAGCGTGTTGAGGCCAAGGGGTGCTGTGGGGGACTCTTTGGCTTTCTGAGACTCTCTGGTGGGTGGCTTCATGTGGGTTACTGCTCACAGATGTGGTAGAAAGAAGCTGTGTAGAAAATAATTTCAAATAAGCACTTTGCTTAGAGGCTGCCTCAGAAGTAGTCATATCCAATATGGTTGATGAGGTGTACTCTCTCTCAGAAGTAATGTATGGTGTCACGGCATTGGAAGATTCTGGCCTTGTGGGTGTAGAAGTGGGCATTTCTTTTGGAGACCCCAGTGGTCTTGTACTGGAAAGAGCAGTCTCAATTCCTATTCCTGCAGAGATTGTAACTGGTGTGGTTTCAGATACTCCTAAAGATCTGTCCTCAGTAGTGCTTATGTGAATAAGAGACTGAGAAGCAGTGGATGTCATGCTCTGAGAAGGTACAGTGGAAGTAGGAGGTATAGAAGAAGGTTTCTCCTGTGGGTCAGCAAAATAAGTTGTATGGGAAGTTCTCTGTATGGTTAGGCTGTCTGTATTCAGAGGAGACTGTGATCTGGAGATTACGTGAGGTGTAGCGACTATGCTGGATTCTGTGGTGATATCACCCATTCCATTAGTGGAAGCCTGTCCAGCTTCAGAAGAGGTGGTTGATGAATAAAGCTGTCTGTGTATTTCTAAAATGCAAAAGAGAGGAGAGTAGGTAATCATCTGGAAAGAACAAACTTCCAAAACATTTACACCTCTACATGACGAGTTAAGGTGTGCATTTTATTAATCACATATTTGTCCTACTGCTAACATATTGAAGTAGTAATAATAGTTGTTGTTGATGATTCCACTTATTGGATTCCTTTCCTTAAAAAACATCACAACATTAGGTAAAGGTAAAGGTTCCCCTTGACAATTTTTGTCCAGTCGTGTTCGACTCTAGGGGGCGGTGCTCATCCTCGTTTCCAAGCAATAGAGCCAGCATTTGTCCGAAGACAGTTTCCGTTGTCACATAGCCTGTGCGACTTAAACACGGAACGCTGTTACCTTCCCACCGAGGTGGTCCCTATTTATCTACTTGCATTTTGCATGCTTTCGAACCGCTAGGTTGGCGGGAGCTGGGACAAGCGATGGGCGCTCACTCCATCGCGTGGATTCGATCTTACGACTGCTGGTCTTCTGACCCTGCAGCACAGGCTTCTGCGGTTTAGCCCACAGCGCCACCATATTATAGCTCATTAATTTAAATATGTGGAAACAGAGCTCTTGCATTTGCATTTCCGTGTTTGTATTGGGCCGAGTTTGAATTCACAATTGCTTCTTTACTTTTACTGTGTCTAATGTGCCCAATACAGATCACAATTGCGATACAGAGGAGAACAGACTTGTCTCTCTCTTCTTTCCATCTTCATGCACTGAAGTCAGCTCTAGGGTCTTTTGTAACGAAGTTAGGATTCTTAACTTCTGCCCTACCTCTGAATAGATTTCTAGAAACTATAATGCACATCTTTTTTCTTTTTCTAACTACCAGTTCCCCAAGTTTTTACTCTTTTCAGTAGTCGCAAGTTGAGCACTAAACCATGACTTTCCTTCTGTAGAAATACTGTATAATAATTTCTAGCAAGGGAGACTCTGGGCCATTCCTGCCTTGGGAAGACTGAGATGCTGGAATATGGTTCAAGAAGGAGCGTGCTCACATGCAGAGGCAACCTGGTCCTGTCGGTTGGATGTCAGAGTAGGGAGTTCCCCCCTAAACCCTTTCCCTAGGTGTGGTAGAAGATACAGTACTGTTATATTGCCATTGGCAACATGTGATTCAGCCACTAGCAGTTGACTCACATGTTGACACTGGCAATATAACAGCTCTGTTTGTGGCATGGGGTGAGGGGGGGCAATGTCATCTTGTTATTCAGTTTATTTATTGGCTTGACCCTACAGCTGTTGGTTACTACTCACCTTTGACTGATAATTCGGTTTCATTATCAAGCATGTTTTTCACTACTTTTATTAAATCTGCTGAAAACATTCTTGTACTGAGGAACTGTTGTCCTTGGAGCAGAGATGTAAAATACGCAACCACACTTCCAGGTCGGAATCCAACCATGACAATATCAAAGGCATCATCACCAAGCTTCAGCTTCATTCCTTCAATAACCTTTGTTCCAAAATACCAGCAATAAGATTAGGGACAGGCAAAAGTAAGTTACACATAAACAAGAACAATTTAAAACATGACATCAAAGTTCCATTTGCTGCAAATGTAGAGGAAAAAAAGCAAGTGCTATTTATATTGGGAGTCTCCTAAGGTAAATGATACAGTCTGTCTAGACCTAGACTGATTGTTGTTCCCCTCAGTGGGCTACCTTCAATCCTCTGTCCTGGAAGAAGGGCTCCAGTAACTTGAATTTGCTTTTTTCTCTTTGCAATATACAGTATTTCAATATTACCTTTGAGTCACAATGGCAGAATTTGTGTCTTGACATGTAGAAAACACACCTGGAGTCACTTTTTTGCATGACATGATGCAGCGAAGTCTCATTTTGGTAGGCAATAGGTTGGCCCATTTGTGTGACACTGGAATTCATGGAGATCCTTAAATACCCCACAATAACCAAGAATTACACAATTTATTTATTTAACTTGTATTTCACCTTGTATTTTCCGCTTTGGGCGTTTAAGGGGAACATACTTGATTCTGCATTCATAAATTCCTTCAGACATGGGGCATTTTTATATAATGCAACACAATTAATGCTCCACAATTCCCACAATGCAAGGGAATTTTGTAGAATCTTGGTGCATGACGGTTAAGGCTGAACTAGACATAAGACAGAGCTCCAGATGTTTTTTCCCCCTGGAACCCTTGAGGGATAAAAACTAATTGAAATGATGCGATTCTAATGGGTGCGTTGTTTTCAAAGTTGTATATTTATATGAATAAAATGTCAGCATCTGTTGCCCTGGTCTACTGCAAACCAAGCAAACTATTAAGTTTTACATAAAAACAGCTGCATAAGAAGAATGCCCGTTGAACAGAGTAATACAAATAATGATAAGATTAAAAATATAAACATTTTGAAAATGAAACTGTTGGCAAGCAGCAGCATCGGTAGATACCATGATCATAGAAGCTTGAACACTCAGGCAGGAACAGAGGCAAAAGAAATAAGTAGAAGAACAATATAGCACTATTGAACCATACCAGGTGTAGCTGGGTAAGCACAAAATAATGCTGGTGTGCCTGTTGTTATTTGCCATCAAGTCCATTTCATATTTGGTTTTCCTCTTTTCCTGCTGCCTTCCACCATTCCCAGCATTATGGTCTTTTCCAGAGAATCCTAACTTCTCATTATGTGCCCAAAGTAGGACAGCATCAGTTTCAATTTTTTTTTAACTGAAGTCCAGTTTCAAAGTTATAATTTTCGTTCAGGCGGCCCTCGATTTTAGAATTACCTTGCAGAATGTGGATTTGCTCCCCTGCACAATAACCTCACTGGAGTGATAATGGATATGACAAGAATGCCTAGAGAGGCTTATTTCACTTTGAGTAAAACAATGGCTCATTCTCATCTTCTTGAGAGATATGGACCATTCAAACAATGAAAATACTTATACCGTACTTTAATACCCAGGTGCACTTTAATATGATTAATAAGAGTATCTGATGTCACACTGAAATAAACCCTTAATAGGGAAAATGAAAAATGTCTGACAGACCTTATAGGCTTGAACTACCAGACAGCATTAAAAATCCTATAGTGCTCTGAGGATGTTGTTCAAAAACCATACCCATGACCTTGATAGAGTGGTGGGTGAGATGAGGTTAAGGAACAAAGAGTATCTTCAGAGAAACAAATGTAATACAGTGGACCCTTGACTTACAGACGGCTCAACTTACAGACTTTTCGAGTTACAGACTGCTCTGGCTGCAAAATTTAGGTTCGATTTGCAGCCGGAGAATCAACTTACAGACCAGAAAAAAACCAAAATGGAACAAACATGGAACAAAAACGGCCAGTTACGGGATTAATCGGTTTTCAATGCATTGTAGGTCAATGGAGACTCGACCTACAGACTTTTCAACCTGCAGCCACCATTCCAATACGGATTAATTCTGTAAGTAGAGGGTCCACTGTAGGTTTTACTCCAGACATAACCAAATTTAGAAGCAGTACTCTATTAAGTGTTGAAAGCTATCTCTTTCTCATAGCAGAAGTTTTTCTAAATTTTCTACTTTACAAATTTGCTTGCTTTGTTTTATGAGTGGTCAGGAAATTCAAAGAAAAAAGAAAAAAAAGGAACTCTGTGTTACATTTCCTTTGCCAAAAGTAGTGTTCTATTATAACTAGAACAGGTGCCAAGGGTACTTTCTCTCCTCTCCTGAACCTTTCCTCTAAGATTAGATGCAACCAAATAATAACAGTATTGCATAAGGAAATGAATTTTCCCAATAACTCAATTGATAGGAACTATCCTGTAGTAATGCAATGTAGTTTGAAGGGGCATGGTCCTGAATAGTTGATTAAGAGCCATTAGCTTACTCCTGATAGAGACCTGAGCAGGTCTGGGAGAAAAACAATTAATATATCCACCTCGCTGTTATCATTAACATCAATAGCAACGTAACATTTTCAGCAATCTTTTGCAAATATCTCTTGCATGTAAAATAACTTACAGTGTTTCTGATTTTGTCAGTCAGGTTCTTATAGATTTCACTTTCTGGATTATAAAGATCAGGAGATATGAAAGTCCAATTTTTGAATAAAATACTGCAAGCAAATGCTTGTTTGCCTGAAAAGAAATGCAATATAATTAACATCTCAACTAGTTTATCTTCAGATCTAGTTTCATGTGTATTACTATTAATTTACTATATTCAGTGTTCTAAAATATGACCCACTAAAAGAATAGGTTCTAAAATGTATGCTCCATCTGTGGATCAGCTTTAATAAAAACTTGCCCACAAAAACCTTACCCTGAATATCGTCATACAAAAAGGTACATTTAAGGATGCTCTTATTTTTCTCTACTTTGTAGAGTTTTCAGCAGCATTTCTTTTAAAATGCTTTGCCAACTTCATTATTAAGAGACTTCAGTGCACTGTCACTGTTAGAACACATTCAATGCAACTTTTATTCTTCTTATGGATCTGAGGCCTTCTAAACACATCTGGAAACAAGTAGCCTGCTCCATAGGTGATGATGCTTCTGAGGTTCACGTGACTACATGCAGCTTGATCCTAGGGTGGATATGTGTCCTGCTTTGCAGAAGACAGTCCTCTGCATCAAAACATCTTCCCTACCAGGATGACATCAATTCTATTTGTAGTTACAGGAATTATTTTCATTTATGTTTGCAAACACAAAATTAGCGTATGAAAAATTTATGCAAATCCATGTCTTAATTTGTTCCATTTGGGAGTGAAGATTCTATTGGGTTGTGTGTGTTTTTCACTCCCATTTTTTCTATATAGGGATGGCAGCCCTATATGTTCTTGTCTATCTCTCATGAGCCTTACTTGCTTCTCACTGACTGCCCAATTATAAATCCTAATGTGCAATGCATTTGCCATATTTATTTCTGGATTTCATCTTTATGTCTGTTACTCCTTGTATTGGGATTCAAGGTGACTCCATTGAAAGCAAGTTGAATTGGAAATACTAATTATACCAATTAAGAAATGATTAAATATGTGATATATAAACTCTGCTAATAGAAGCAGTTTTAAGACACTGAGAAACACTGGCTCACACGAGAAACTAAAAATGTATAGCATCTAGCTATGAAACTAAATTCTGCTGAGCTGCTATAGGGAGGATTTTGCCTGCCGCCTGAAGAACAGTCTGCAAGGGGCCAGCCTGACCTCCCAAGAGAAGGCATTCTACAACTTCCTTTCCTCCCCTTCTTTCTTGGGGGTGAGTACTGCCTTCTTGTAAATTTGTGCAGTAGTCTATAGCAGTGGTTCTTAACCTTTTTGAAAGAAACGCCCCCTTAAGCCATTGAGGAAGTTATCATCGCCCCCCTCCCCGCGGTGATGATATCTTATTTGTTTGTTTGTTTGTTTGTTTATTTAAGACACTTAAATCCAATGACCCCTGAAAACAAAATTAAATTCCAAGAAAATGAAATGCCCCCCAAAAAGTAACA